TCCTGCTTGTTCAGCCTCCAACCGTCGTGCGTAAGCCTTAGAGGAGAGGTGATTCCATGATTTTATTCTCTGGCCTGGTCATGAGGAATACATTTCTGTAGTGGTTTTCCTTGATAGTATTTCTCCAAAGTGTTTTATGAAGGACATTAAATGTTATTTGACCTTCATTCTAGATTGGGAAATGGAAGCTCATTGTTGTTAAAGACTTGATTCCAGTGTAAGTCTTGAAATTATTAGAATAAATAGAACCTTAATACTATCTGAAATAATGTTAAAACTTTTCTGTACATCAATATGCATAAAATGTATATATTGTGTATAGTGTGTATATTTAGTAGTATATAGAAAATTGATAGAATACATATATCACTGATCAACTGTGAATCAGTGAGACTTGCAGAACCATGGAAAGCTACTCAAATTTAACATTTATGTATTTACATTTATAACAACACATACCTTTGGCCACTCTTCCTTAATTCTGCAGTTCTAAGGCTCTGGAAGTACTTGGTAAATGAGTATATACAACTACTATTTTTAATCTAAATTTTTCTGTCTGCGGCGTTCAAAAGGGATTTAATCTGAGAACCTATTTTAGATTATCAGTGTGGGTAGAAGATAAATAGGAAAGTCAGAAGAGATTGTCTATTGTTCTAAATTGATAATTGATGCTCTTTCTTCTACTGCAAATGCAAGTGCCAGTTGATTTAGCAGAGAACTTATAGGCTGTGACAGTAACACATAGGTTTAATATTTCATTTGACAAGAAATTGCTGTCAATCCATTCAATTCCATTTAAGAATTTGTATGCAAAATATGAGTAACACTGTTCAATATTATTTTGGTTAGTTTTAGCACTTCTAGCTAAGCAAAACCAAGCAGTTCACAGCAAATAATTCAGCTTACTCAAACTTACTTTAGGGACAGTCCTCTAAGCTATGGGTCAGTTTGCACTTGATGGTTTGGGTTGTCCTGAAGACCTCAATCAAAGCTGAAATAGTTCCGAAGGGATCATAAGCAATGTGACAGATCAAACCCTGGTGGCTGCACAGCTGTATTTTGAACAAACAAGTGATTTGTTGCTGCTGAGAGGGTGCAAGATGCCAGTGGAGAAGGCCTTGTGTAGCAAAGCAAACTGTAAAGGATTTCTGGGTGTGAAGTGAACTTGAGAAGGAGAGTGAGGCACAGGGAGAAGGCAAGGGGCTTTGACTTTCTTGCACCTTGGCTGAAGAATGTTCAGGGCAAATATGCACTCAATTAATGTTACATATTATTGCCAACACGATTGAGATATAAACCTTACAGCCCAGAGCACAGCAGCATAAGATTACACATCAGATATATTGAATGAGGGTTTAGTCACCTGAGAGCTGGGCGAGAGCAGATGTCTGAAATGTGTGAATATTTCATCCCCTTGTAGATCCAAAAGGTTTTCCTAATACATTATAAATGATTGATCTTTAGCAAACAGTTTTCTCAGAGGATGAGAGCAAGTCAGGCATGGCAAGATTAGACTTGAGTTAGGTGAGATGCAGACTGGTTTCCAGTGGATACCCACTGAAGAAAGGCTTCCACTCCAGAGTTGCAGAAACATTACTGAGGCAGAAAATTCCTGAAACTGGTTGGAAGTGTTCAGCAACAACTGCAACAACTGTATAATCTTCCCCAAAACTTCTCCAGTGCAGCATGTATTAGCAATTTGGCTTAGCAAACTTCTGTTATCTGGGGTGTGGTGTTCATTCATCATCGCTCACACTAGGCAAAAATTTGGCCAGTTCTTTCAGCCTTGGCAGAGGATTTGATAAACTTGAAATCAGTCTCTCTGTCTCTCTGGCTGTTTTGGAAAGACGTGTACATCATTTAAACTATATTCTCTTGACAGTATCGTACCAGAAGATTTTCCAGGAAAAAAAAGTCTTCTGAGGGGCCACAGATCTACACATAATGTTATGATGAATTCTAGATTTGTTTCTCCTATAAATAGCCTGGCTTTTAAAAACATGTAAACTGCTTCTAGCAATTTACAGACAACTACTTGAATCCAGGCACCCTTTTCTAAAGGATCTTCAAGAAAAGCTTTGTGATGAGGAGAAAAATAAGTGGAATGTTTATTGGATGGTAACAACAAATACAGGCCCTTTTAGGATCAGTAGAATTAACTGACCAAAGTTATTGTGAATTAACTGCAAAACAAGGAACAGGAAACTCGGATGAAGAGTAGTACTGCCAGAGTAGCTGTGCAAAACCCAAAGCATTGGACACTTTGAGTATGACAATGAAGTCCAGCATTTGATTAAGACATAGGTGCAATATGGCTTTCTTGTTCCTAAACATGAAAAAAAACCCAACCAAAAAAACCAAAAAAAACCCAAACCTCAAAACAACAAAAACCGCCCAATTCAGAATACCTTTTGAGAAGCTATGAATTTTATTTCAGAAAAATCCACTTGCCTACTGAAAATTTGAGCTCTGCTAAGCAGCTGCACAGTTATGCCACAAAGATATTATTTAGTTGAATGAGACAGGCAGACCCCAGAAAAGGCTCTTTGTTTTATTATTTAAAATCTATGTTTCAATTATTGTTTTCCTGTTTGGAAAAGGTCCTTTCTGGCAGGGATTCAGCCTTCTTAGGAATTTTTTATTTCTCATTAACTGGGAGCGGTTCCCAGGACATCGGATTTGCCATCATCTTTAAATCAAATATGTCTGAAATCACTTGTGACAAGTCACTCTGTGGGTCCCGCTCTGCTGAAGAACCTCAGGAATGCTCAAAAGTTGGGATTTGTTTTTTTACTAAACACAGAGAAAATAGCTGTTTCTCTGTATGTATGACATTGTTTGCATGAAGCAGAAAGTGCAGAAAAGGCTTCTGTTGAGTGCTGGGCTCTCTGATTTTGAGATCTACCTTTGAACCCTGTTCAATATTCACAGCCCTAAGCTGCATATATATACAAGTAGTTGTTTGCACATCTGCATTCAAGATCAGAACAGCTGTGGCTTGATGCCAGTCTTGAATGGAACTGACAGGACACTTCAGGGGTTAAATAATTGATAAAGAGAGACAGAGACTAAGAGGAGAGTCAATAATGAAAGTGATAGAGAGTGAGCATTGACTGTGGTTTTGCTTCTCAGTCCAATATTGGTTTTCCTGCTGCAAGTCAAGCATCAATTCTGTGTTTCCTCTCTAATTAGCTTTTCTTCCCTGAATAGGCACATCTTATAGTGACCTTTCATTGTCCTTTTTACCAGAGTCTTTTTTTTGCCTGACAAGTCTAAATCTGCTGTGCAAAACCAGTAAATCATGTTAGTCTCCTTGTTTGGTGGATAGTGCCCTGTAAGGAGCAGGAATCAACAGCAAAGGCATTATCTGAGTAAGAGAAGTGCAGGTTTTTTTGCAACTGAAGAATGCTAAACTAACAGCACACCCAGCGCTCTGCTCTGGCCTCGTGTGAGGCCATTCCTGAAATTCCTGGATAGGAATTGTTTTGAGTGACAACAAAAGATTAATAGTCATATCCACAAACATCACTGTCTCTATGAATAGTTACCTTTCCCAACCTTCCCTAAAACCAAACCCAAGTACTACACTACTAAGGCAGGAACAAATGAGAACATTAAAATCAAATGGAGCAACTCTACCTGTAGAAGGTAGAGTTGCTGTAGAAGGGCTGGGTGGAAGATCTGGTTGTCTGGTAGTTGTCAGGTACTTTAATCCATGTACTTTGTCATCTCATATAAATACTTTTAAATATTAAGCCTGTATAATCAGTGTCAAATGTGAACCAAAAATATGTTACTATTCATCTCAAGGATGGTTCAATCTCAAGGAAAGGTTCAATTTAGAAATGTTACAGCACTGAGTATAATGAAGTAGGATATGGATTTGATTGCAAGTCAGCTACAGACTAAACAGATATTTTGTGCATATAACATCTCAGTTGATAGGGAATATTTTGTGAAAAAGGATTTGAGGTTAACTTGGTTGGAAAGCCAGGTACTATTTTAAAGATTTTTAGAATTCATTACTTGGGGTCATTTTCTAGGATGAATGGATTTTTTCATTAAAAAATCTTGATGTAGACATTGCATGCTTAGTTTCTGATGCAAGGAAGTTAGGACGTTGGTTGCTTTGGTCTCCCAAGGAGAAGAAATCACATTAATGTCTGTGCCTTGATTTTTCCTGTCCTTATAGGCCTGAAATCTGATCAGCTTTGTTTATTATGGATATCAGTGTATTTAAGAGAATGAATGGCTCAGTGGATTTGGATTTGGGTAACAGGATCTAGAGTATTTAGCATCCTTACATCAATCAGCTCATGCTGTCTGTGTTAGTGTAGCTTCTGAAGTCAGGCAGCTGTGAGTTAAGTTAATGGTCCCAGAAGTGGCTCTAGAGAGCTCTCAGTGTATTAATGCCCATGTCAGCAGCGTCAGGAAGAAGACCAAGGAATGAAATGGCAGGTTGAAAACTGTCTTTCATTGTCTAAATTAATCCATAACAATGGAGCCAGGGAGAAAATACTTGTTGTTTGACAAACTGAGGAGGCATCAGGTTTACACAAATATCTAACTGCAGTGTGACATTCATTGCCTTGGTCAGTGTAGCTGGAGATGAAAAAAGGTGTTGGGCAAATAATGGAAAATAGATTGTGACATAGAGTCCAGCCAGGAAATTTTTAAACCACTGATTACTTGAATGGGAAAGTGTGAAGAGGAAAAGCTGTTCTGTATTGTCTTGTTCCTTACAGCCTTTAACCCCCAGTAGTCGCTGCTGGTCCCTGGTGGGGACAGGATACTGACTAGATAGACCTCTGAGCTGAAGCAGTGTGGCAGATCTTAGTGTCTCTCTTAGTTTCTCATAGCTATTGTCACATCATGAAGGGAATGTTGTATCATAACAGGTGAACTAGAAGAAAAATGGCAGTGGTCTGTCAGCAAACAATGAGTGCTTACAAACCAGTGCAATGCATTGATCCCTCATTTTCCTTTTCATTTTTGTTCAGGCAGGTGACAAGCATTATCATCCAAGCTGTGCACGATGCAGCAGGTGCAACCAAATGTTCACAGAAGGAGAAGAAATGTACCTGCAAGGTAAGGGTGTCTCCATTCTAAAACAAGAAAATCAGACTTTGTAATTGGTCTGTCACAGACCTCAGGAGTTTGTAAACCCTCTCCATGGGCAAGGAGGACTGTAGCCATCCTACCTTCATTACAGTGTTCCCACAGGTAGCTGAGCACACAGACTGGTGAATGAGATACCAGACAAAGTTAGAGCATTGTCCCTGAATTCTGCTGATCAGGTTCTCTGCTCTTCTGGACCACACTCCAGACTGTAAAAGAGAATGGAAAAACCTCCAAAGACTGCAGTGGGCTTGTTTTAAATCATGTAAATCTCATTCCCCATGTACACCGACAAATTGTCTCCTCCAGTTCTTAATCATATTTGCTTGCCTTGCCTGTTTCCCCTTTATCTGGTCATATGTCTCTCTGCCCTTTATTTTTATGTCTTTCTATAGTCACTTCTTTCTTGTATGTTCATTTGCATCTCATCTCTTATTAACAGTCTCACACTCCCAGATACTGTCAAGCACTTTTTTTTATCATGATTTTTCACATTAAAAAGTGCTGTTTTCTTTGACTGAAAAGTATCCCTGATCTGAATTCCACCTACTCTCCCAGAAAGCAGTACATTAACTATTAAGCTGTGGTTACTTTTACTACTTGCTGTAGTATTAATTAATGTTGGTAGAAAGGTGTATAACACATATTTAGGCAAGCCAGAAATCAAAGTGAAAAAGGCAAATACATATTGGGATTTTGTATATTGTGCTTATGTTAGAAAACTTGCTTGATATACCTCAAAGGACTCTAAGAGAATAGTGAAAAAATTATGGAAGTGTGGTCACAGCCATCTTGAAATCCCGAGGAAAGATTCCTTCTGGAGGGATTTCAAAATAAGATAATATTGTTAAGGAACTCCTTTGAAGCTAACTTGTGTTATTTAGTAGTTTATCGTCCCTACCAGTCCGTCTCTCTCAGCTTTTACTGACCTTATAGCTTAGTCATCTTATTCGATCTGTGTACAGATCTGGATTTCAAGTTGTGTAGCAGCTCTGTATTGCAAGAGCAAGAGAGCCTGATAGAGGGCTGGGTAGGAAATACAGCTTTCTGATGGCAAATTGGAAAGACTACTTTGAAAGCAACATTTACAGCATCTGAGAACTGGGAATCTTCTTAGCTTCCTCATATCATATGATAAAGTACAGGCAGAGTTCGTGAGCATCAGTTCATCCTTTGCTGTTATTAATAACAGCTGTTTGCAATCAATGCCATTTGCACCAGTCTAGCAGGGAGTTCATGTTGACTGGGCAGGCTGTGGTGCAAATTTCTGTGGATCCTAGTAAGACAGGAAGCATTGCTTCTACTTAAACAAGGCTAGATTTTCTCCTGGCCAACGTTCAGGTGATATCAAAGAAGGAGAGGAGAGACACCTGGCTCCTTGTTCTGCCATCATTCTCTTGTTGGCTTTATCTCCCTTTCTGTGGTTGTGGATTAATGTTCTTCGTGCTTACTCTGTCTCAGAGGAGGAGCAGCCTGAGTTGCATTGCTTTATTGTTCACAAGCTGTTTCCTGACTAAATAATGTTATTGCTGAGTGTGCTCCAGACTGTGCTCCTGCCAAAGCTTTCCTCGCTGAAATCAGCATGCTTGGAAGTGTAAGGGACCTAAAAGCCTTCCCTGTGCAACGTTGTCAGCTGAAATACGTACCCTGACTCCATCCAAATCGCTCACCCTGGGGTGCAGAATAACAGCATTCCAAGGATTTCTCTGAAATGAAAACACAACACCACAATACTAAAACTAGAACCAAAATCACATTATTGATAAAATACATGAAAATTGTCCTCTCTGCAGGACATGAAAGCTCTCTGTTGGTATTGTGGGGTATAACAGAGGAGCCTGGCAGGTTTGTGGCAGCTACTTGGATTAGAAATCTGTGGGAAACCTGTGGAATGAGAACATAGAAAAAATAACTGTTTATTTTGGGGCTTTCTATGTTAAAGATGGTTTGAATAATGCTAGCAGGAGCACTCTGGCTTTGCCCTGCTTCGATGTAAGAAAATGAAAAGGAAGCAGCACCAGAAACTTTCTCTTTCCCATTGACTTTCTAGTAATCTATTACTGTGTGGACTGCCCCAGGAGACTGCTGCTGGGCTGGGATGTTGCTCAGCATTTAGAGGGATGCTTCACTTGATTCTCAGACGGGCTTTCAGCCTTAGTCCATGTGTAAATAATGGCCCGAGTTACTACTTTTCAGAGAGCTGTATGTTGAAACAATGGTACGTGCAAAGTGAAAAGCTGAATAAATGAACATGTTGGTTGGTGTCTGCCAAGTTAGTAAACAAACATATGTTAAGAAATGGGAATAAACACAATTTGCTGAACCGTTTCCGTTAGGAGAAAGGGTGGCAGTACAGTTTGAGAGTTTGCACTGCTCCAAGCATTTCAAAATAGACTGACATGTTTGGATGAATAATATCTACGATTTGTAGGTGGCTCAGAGTTCAGGGTCAGGAAAAATATTTACATGTAATTTCTTCAGCCTGCTCTATCTGATTTGGGTTTTTAAATTTAACATACTTCCATTTTGGGGAAAAAATACAACCTCACAACCCTTAGCTAAGTTTTACCATGGCACCCAGACCCACTTGCATTTCTTGTTCACTTTCAGCTGCTCCAGCCTTCTCCTGGGGTGACCCTAAAATTATGCCACTTCATGCTAATTACTGCCCAAAAATGCAATGACAGCTTTTTCTTTGATGGTGGAGGTGGTTTAATAGAAAAGAAGTGAAGTATAGAGGAACAAAGATCATTTTTTCCCAGGTTCCACAGGAAGCTCATAGCTGAATTTGGGAATTGAACCTAAACCTTAGGAGCTTTGGTTCACCAGCCTCGTAACATGAACTCCCTCCCTCCTGAGTGCCTGGATCTGTCTGGGCTCCTAAGCCAACGCCAGGGCGTGCTTCTCTCCTGATCCCTCAGGCTCTGTGGGGTCCTGGCTCGGAGGCTGCTGTTTGTTTACAGAGAAGGCTGTTGGTTCCCTTCTCCCTGGTGTCTCATCCTTTGCCCCTGCCAAACGCGCAGTTTCTTCTTCCTCAGCTGAGACTCAAAGCCAAACATCTCAGACCCCTGATCCAGAATCGCAGCGTTCTCCCCAGTCTCCTGATGATGATGATACTGTGTGCTGCTGGGAAGTGAAATAATTCCTGCTGGTCTTTACTTCTGTACTGAACCATATAAGGGCTTCTTAGAATAAAATTTCCAGGGGCCCTGACCCCAACTCTGCTGGGCTCTGAGGGTGGGGTTTCCTCTGCCTGCACTTGAGCTAATAGGCACCAGTAGGAGTCCTGGACTTTGCTCTGTTTGGTTTCTTTGCGGACAGAGTGAAGGGGTGAGATTCCCCCCTGCAGACAGACAAGGCTCTGCCTTGGCTTTGCAGTGACTGGAATGGGGTTTGAGTTTGACTGCAGCTGCAGTCAGTGGTAAAAATCAGCATTAGCTTCTGCTCCAGTTCAACTTGGCTCATACCTGCCAGCAGCGACCACAGTTTACACCATCCCAAAGGAGAATTGAAATGGGATGGAAGTGCCCCTTGCTCCTGGTACTGCTTAGCCCTAGGGGGCAGAGGAATATTGCCATTTTTACAGCATAAATGCAGGGGAGAAGTGACCTGAGTGATACTTTACAGTAACTGAATGTAACACCTATTGCTCAAAGAAGTTGTAGGACTTTCCCAGTATTAATGGACTTATAATCAGAACTTCCTTTTTATGTGTGGTGCAGTGCATTAGGGGAGAATTGATCAGGTAACCACGGCCCAGTTCTTTTGCTCTTACCCTTCATCCCACCCAGAGGAACACTCTGTCCTTCAGTTCCTCTGGCTGGTGCTTGCTGACTCGCTGTCTGAGTTTTAAATAAGAATGTGTGCAAAATGCTTTGACAGCCTCAAGAAAAGGCTGCTGTAGATGGGCCAAGGATTTGAATTATTTTTTATTTCACTTGTATTTCCCATGAGCTAGAATTGAATGTGAATTTCTTGCATAGTTCATACAGATTCATCATCTGATGCAACGAAGGGATTTTCTTTAATAACTGACCTGTCATGACCGGAAGTCATCTGTTTTACTCTGAATAAATGTGTTGTTTTACCTCCCTCAGGTTCCACTGTCTGGCATCCCGACTGTAAGCAATCCACTAAGACTGAAGATAAGCTACGGGTAAGTTCAGTTCATGGCAATATGCACTAGGTATTTTGCCCACACAATAACTGAGTGCTCTTTTTAAAGGAATGACTGTTCCCATGTTTTTTTCACATAGCTCTCACCACTCTGGCAGAATAAGCAGTGGAGGCACTTCAGAGGTATTGCTCTGATTTTCAGGCTCATCACCTTCACATACCTGTCTCAGTGCACTGCCTTAAAGATAGTATCATTTCCTGACATACAGACATGGCAAAGTCACTAAAACACTTCATTTCATATCTCAATTATTGTGAGAGAGACTCTTAGGGAGAAAATGTGAACAGGGCAAATTCTACAGTATATTTTAGTATTTTTGCACATTTATATAATTGTTCTATAGTTATCTCCTGTTCTGCGTGGCTATTTGCAGCATTTAGACAATACGGGCTCATTTGATTTTGCCATTCAAATAAGCCTCAGCCTAAAGTCATCCTAATTTGAATGCCAAGAAGAGCTGCATTTACCCTTGGAGTCACTTCAGCATATCCAGACAAACTCTCTGGATCAAATCCTTGATGGCAATAATGCAATTCTGGGCAATTCTAAGCTGATGAATTTCATCTGCTGGACAATTTACTCTTTTTGATGTCTCAGTTGATCCTCTGAATTTTAATAATTTTTCTGGATATGAATACTCCAGACTGTCTTTCAGACAAGGAAACTAAGAGGTACTGCTATGGAGATACGTAGGCTATCCTGTGGGTTGTGTGGCTCATTCACAGGAAGCCACGTTCTTTGGAATACGTTCAGGTGGTCTGTAAAACATCCCCTGCAGAGAATTTACTATGATTGTAGGAAATGTGCAGATAAATTCTTGTTGATCAGAATTCATGTTAGTGTGTACTGATAGTACAGAAGTATAATTGGCCCTTGATGGGCATGGGATCTAGCAGGGCCAAACATCGCTGTAGGTACCATCCAGCATTTCACATTGTTCTGTCCTGACTTCCTACAAGAAAATTGGAAATTCTGCCAGGCTGGATTTTCTTCCTCATTTAACAATTTGAGTGTAAGACAGTGTTTTGGCCCTCTGTAGTGCAGGAACACTTGTGCTTTGTAGTGAATGGTTGGGGTACAATAACCTCCCTTTCACTTGGACCCAAGAGTCTTATCAAAGCACTCCTGACTACATTGCACCCTTACAAACCTTCCCCTGCTGACCTTATAAATCAGGTGGCTTATTTCCATTCCCCATGGAAATGGCCAAAGTCCTCTTCAAATATTTTCCTTTTTTTGGGCACACATTCAAGCGTGTCAGTCTTCTTCCCGCTCAGCTAATTTTAATTGAAGTGAATGAAGTAAATGAATTCATCCACCTGCAAGACTTTGCCTAAGTGAGTTCCTACAGGAAAATGAAGCGGAAGAATGCATATTAAGGGAACAACTGAGAAATGTTATGGCACAACTATCCAAGGTCGCCTTGTTCCTGGATGAGAGCTATGCAGAAATGCACTGTCCTGAAACTGGATGGAGAGGTGGAGAATTTTTACCTTCAACTGCCAGTCACAGACAGTCTCTATCCACTCCTTATCAGTTTGCGTTCACTTTGATGTCTTTGACACACGTTTTATTCTGCTGACTCAATTGAAGGCAATAGCAAACAGGTAGGTACAGAAAAAAATGAAACTGGGGAAACTATGTGCTATTTGGACTTGTCACCACTAAATTATGAACTGTTCTTTGATTGACTTTCACTTTCTCGATGACATACATTCAGATCTGAAGTGAGAATCAGAATCTGGTTTGTGAGTTGACAAATACGTGATGTGGCCACTTCCAAGGGCAGGCCTAGATTTTCTGCAAAAAGCCAGTGACATGGCCTCTTTGCTCTGCCGCGTTTCCTTTCCCTATAGAGCAAAACAAAACAAAAAGCCCTTTTATCATGGAAGTCACTTCAGAAGTTTTCAGCAAGTTCTGTTTTCTCTCAGTAACTGACTTGTGGTATAAACTAATCAGCGATCTAGCTGGTCAAGATCTGAGAGAGAGTTCATAAAAACAATGGTTGCTTTCGATCTTCCTCCCACTGGATATTTATGGAGGATTACAAAGCCAAAACAAGCAGAAAATAAAGTAACCATATATATGTTAAAAAATATACATTGCTTGGCATTTTTTAAACTGTCTGGTGGTTCGTGATTCTGCAGGGATTAATAAGTAACATAGATATTATAACACACAGAGGATTATCTAGCAAGTAAGTATTAGTAACTTGATTGAAAAAACCATGGAGCTGGGGCAACTGCTTTCCTTTTCACTCTTTTTTCCCTTTTGTGTTTCATGACAGCATTCCTCATCTGAGTTCTTTTATCCAAAGAGTCTGGTTCTTCGCAGGCCACGCTCTGCAGAGGTTTGCTGTTGTGTTTTCATAGTGTTGATAATGGTCTTCTTTACTGAGAAGATTCTTCATTATCCTCATTCACTGCGCTTGCTGCTACTGCTGCCACACAGCTTTCCTGCTATCACTTGGGCACTGACGCTGTATTTTGCATCATGTGGTGCAGTGTTCGTTTGTTAATTCTCACATTTTTTATTTTGTTCAATGAAATGCTTAAAATTCACTTTTTTTTTAGATTCAGATGAGCTTTAGGGGGCTGTAATATTGTTCTGGTGTTAGAGATTAGAGTGCAAATATGAAGCAAATGAAAATGGTGAAAAGTGATGGTTTAAAAGAAATAGTTTTTCATGAACAGTGGCTCATGCTTTTTAGAAAAAAAGGCATCAGTTGAATCCGTTACTTTTTTATATGTATTGACCAACTACACATGAATACTTTAGTTGGGAAAATACTTAAAAAATTCCAGGTTTGGACATGTTCTGTGTGCTGCCTGAGAGCATTTCACAGAATCACAGAATGGCAGGGGTGGGAAGGGACCTTCAGAGATCAACTAGTCCAACTCCCCCTGCCAAAGCAGGGTCACCCAAAGCAGGTTGGACAGGAATGCATCCAGGTGAGTTTTGAATATCTCCAGAGAAGGAGACTCCACACCCTCTCTGGGCAGCCTGTTCCAGTGCTCTGCCACCCTCAAAGTAAAGAAGTTTTTCCTCATGTTGAGATGGAATTTCCTGTGATCCACCTTGTGCCTGTCACCCCTTGTCCTGTCACTGGGCTCCACTGAAAAGAGTCTGCCCCATCCTCTTGACACCCGCCCTTTAGATATTTGTAAATATTGATGAGTTCCCCTCTCAGATTTCACTTTTCCAGGCTAAACAGACCCAGATCTCTCAGCCTTTCTTCACAAGAGAGATGCTCCATTCCATTTGCGCCTTCCTAATCAGGGGCACATTCATGTCCAAGTTGGGAGGTCCTCCCTGTCCTCTTGATTCTGGTATTTTCAGATAGAAAGATTTGAGATTTCCTTGAGTTTGCTTTGCACTTACAAATGCCACTCGTTTCCATTTCTTCTCCTTCAGGGCAGAGCTTATTGATTATTTGTGCCTTCTGTGGGGGGCCATGAGGCTGTACCATGAAGGCACACCTGAGGTGGCTTTCACTTGATAGCAAAGTAAGAACTTACTGGTATGGACTTAGGCCAGGCTGGCAGTAGGCAGACAGGCTGAGAGAGTCCACACCACTGGATTTCCTGCTGCAGACTTTGATCTCAAGATTGCCAGGTAGGCACAGTCACATCATCAGTCAGGGCAGGATGCTTGTGTTAGATGCAGTCTGTAGGGCAGTGTTACGTGGTTGAATCTAATGCTGTGATTCAGTGATTCAGCCCTTTGTGCTGCACAGTCCTTTCCTCAGTTAACTTTGGATGTTGTGATGCGTTAGCTACTCTTGAACGCCACTCTGTCAGCTACAGAAATATGTATCAAGAAAATACAGCTATAAAGATGTGTTACCAGTGTTGCTAAGGAGAGCAATGTCTTTACAGTTGTAGGCTTTATGGAATCAAATGTTGGAGTCTGAGAACATCAAACTGTGGGACCATGTCACTCATCTTTTAGGCCAGTGTAGTGGCTTTCTGCATTCAGCTTAGCAGGCATGAGTCTGAGTTTCCAGTGCTGAAAACTGGGAGCCTTAGGATTAAAAAACAACAAATCTTATCCAATGTATTGGAAAAATATGCAAGGCAAAATAGGAGCAGCCTGTATCAAAATAAAGGTATGTTCTTTTTGTGGCTTTGTAGACTGTGTAGGATCCAAATAGCTTACGGTCAGATGAATATCCTTCTGTGTAAATTTGGTCGGTATTAAATTCCATTTAGATTTACTGCTGATTATGCTAAGTGTAATTCAAGGCAGATTTTGGCTGTAAGTGTTCTTCTGCAGAGTAGACACAAAGATACTATCATTGCTGTTCATACAAAGATGGGCTTGAATCTACACAGAAATTTCTAGGTTGAAAATTGTAGGATGAAATCCTGTGAATTCTCTGAGAAGTTTGCAGTTGAATTCAGTATGTCCTGGACTTCCCACTTTACGTCTGCCTTCCACTTAACTTATTCTTGGTGAAGGCTGCCTTTGCATGAGTAGTCTTGTAAAAGTTTGTTTGGTAGCAATGTGCCTTCAATGATTATGTGCAGAAAATTAATTCTCCTTTTCTGGCTTTTGTCTAGAAAGAAAAAAAAATTAATTGTAACCTATTAATATGTGTGTCTGTGTGAGTTTGAACTAAACCTCTTCACTAGTTTTGTCTTGATGCATACAAAGTGTTGATTTTTTAGGCAGAGTAATAATGAATGGATGCATTTGAAGGAAACGCTCTTGGAAGGAGAAGGGTACAGTGAAACCAGAAGACAGGCACAATGAATGCTGTAACACTGAGGTGCTTTCTCGGTCTGGTGTACAGCCAGTGAAAAGTACTGAAATCCATAGGAAGCCTGTGTTTAATGAGCCCTGGTTTCAAGTCCCAAGTAACTGCAAAACCTTGCAGCTGATGCAGCAAGTAGTCAGAGTGGCAACTGTTGTACTGAGAAAGCCAGATTCCTTACTATTGCAAAATTGTATCTGCCTACCAGAATAAATGACATCCTAATCTTCTATTAGTTTATTTATAAACATGCTTCTCTTACAGTGGCTTCTGAGGATTAGAGAATTTGCTTAAGCTATAATGTTAAATGTTATTAAGTGAAAACATATTCATTCCTCTGCAGCTGTTATCACCACCTTGCATAATGAACTCTATCAAAAAGCTAAGGCAGGTACTGTAAACAATGCTGACGATGCCTTTGTTAAACAACAGTGCATCCGTTTGGCCAGATGTTCTTGGGATCAGTTTTGATTTGGTTGCCTGCATCTGTAAGTTTTTATAGAGCATGATTCTGAACATCTGTACTTGAGAAAGCCAGAGCCACCACATTCTAGCAGCATCTAGATGATGTGAATGGCTCTAGTGTAGATTTTTATTTTTTTTTTAAGAAGCTATTTATTTAGAGGATGTGCCATGCATGATGACATGACAAACTGAGGTAAATGCAGATGAACATCTTAAACTTTGCAATCTAGTATCTAAATAACAAGTTAATCAATTTTGGGCATATGCATGGGTGATATGGTAATTGAGCATTGAAATTCACATGGAACCTAATAGGATGAGCATGACGGTGTTATCTCTGCTGGTCTGGAAATGGAGTTGGTAAAGAACTTTTGCATCGAAGACAAATGCATGGAATGAAAAACTAAAGTGTAAAAATAAGAAGTCTGTGGTAAGGTGGGAAATACTGAGAAGTCTTGCAGATACTTTAGATGCTTTGTGTTCTGGTTCTTTCCTTTGGCTCCTTTAATGATATGCATGATTTTCTATTGACTGAATTTTATTGATTTTTTTTCATATACTTCATAGACTTCCTGTATCTGGTACAGACATCCCATATTGATATATTTACCACTGTTACATCCATTTGGGTGGAAGAGGACAGAAAAAACAGATGACTCTTCTACTGTCAGAAAATGTGGAGAAAGACCATGCACCATAAGAAAAGAAACAAAGATTAGTTGTAGTTCTTCATAGAAATTTGCTTTAAATTTCTCTGCACAAAGGTGGCATTTTGAAAAGCTCTATTTGAAGTCTTCAAGAACAAGAACCATCATATAAAGAGTGTTCCAGTTCTGTTCGGAGAAGTGAGGCAGCTTCACTTGTTTTGTTGCTGGATAGAACAAGTGTCACAGGACTATTGTGCGGGAAGGAAATGCCGTTAAATTAATGCATTAATACTAAAGGATGTCTCCTGTAATTTCTTTACCTGTCTTCTTCCAATAATGTGTGCAAGAGATGCTCGCGTGATATCTCCACTGAAGGTTAAAGCTTAAATCAGGGATAGCTGCTATTCCTGTTTCACCTGTGCTCTGACCAGCTCTCCTCCAGGGTGGAATTTACACCTTATTGCAGTTCCATCAACAGCGGATTTGACCTCCAGTGTGTCTCCTGCCACCTATTTGAGCTATAAAGTCACACCAGTGGTGCACAGGGTCGGGGGTTTTTGGCTGCTAATGAAGATGTAACGCAGAGTCTAATGAAAGCCATACTCCATCCCAGATTTTCAGTCAGGAAGTATTACAGGTCTCTTAGGAGAGGAGCCAACCATAGCAACTAAAATTACGCCAAAGGAACAGCTTATATCACGGAACCTTTAGTGTGTGTTTGTTAAGGCAAGCAGCACAAATGTTTTTAAGTGCAACGCAATTGTCTTTAGGGGAAAGCACAAAGCTGTGAAGGATTCCAGACCATACGGGAGCAGGAGAGTAGGAAATAGCCATCTGCGATGGAAGCAGCCTCTGTAATTCAAAACAAGAAGCAGGGCAAAGTGAGGCAGGGAGGGTGAGTAGATGCCAAAGTCCTCTCTTTCATGCACTGCCTTCAGGGCTATGTCGTAAACTTAAGCAAGATGCAGGACTGAGGGCAAATGGAGGAGCCACAAAGTTCCAGGTGTGCTTGGATTAAGCTGCCCAGGAGAGCAACAGAGTGTGCTGGGGCAGTGGCTGGCAGGATGGCATCCCGCTCAGGAAATGTGGAGCTCTGTGATAGACTGAAGGTAAAATTTATGTATGCATAAAGAATTACAGAAAATAGAAAACTGGTTTTAAAGGGTGTCATATCTGGCTCATGGCCGTGTTAATGGGATGGTAATGAGGAACTTGGAGCAGAAACACAGTGAGGAAATGAAGAACAGGTGCTACAACTTGCCAGTTTGTCTGAAAACTGCTCCTGTGCTCCAGGGTTAAGAGCATCTCAGAAAGCTTTTAGCAGGATGTGTTTAAAACTATCCTCTTAAGGTGTCTAACTTTATTAAACAAATTCAGTGAAGTGATAAATACAGGTGAATTTTTCTTTGCTGAAACAGTTTTTAGCAGTGACACTAAGAGATGAGACTATGGAGATGGATCAAGGGCTGAGAATTTCTTGGTTTTTGAAGTGGTTATAAAAGATCCAGAGCAAAGAGCAACCCAGAGGGCCTGCCAGGTGGGAAGAAGCCATAACGGCCTCTAACCCTTTGCTTCTTACAACAGGGAGGATTCAGCAGACAAAGCTCTTAAAGTATGTCTGCCAAAAGCCAGAGGTAACAGAGACACCCCTAACAGTACCTCATCTATTTAATTTTGTCCCTATGTTGTAATGAAAACAATTGTTTTCCATAGCAACAGCAGCAACATGTTACATGTGTCTCCACTCAACCAGACAGTGGTGTGAAACGGCAGAATGGAAGGGGGAATAAAGTGTTTCTCAACAACAGCCAGATTTTCCAGCTTAATTCTTGTAACGTTTCCATGAAACAAGTGGTTGTTGTTGGGTATTTTGCTTTGATTGCATCATGGGAGGAGCTTAGGGGCAGCTGAGACGTTTCTGTTCCCTTTTGGGATATAGGAATTTGCAGCTACAGAGAGAAAAGGGAAGAAATACATAAAGTATTCTCAGACATTCTCTGGAGAGACTTTGTGCCTGTGTCAGTCCATGGCCACATCTGCTCTCTGTTTGGTCTGAATCTTCACGTTTTTTGGTGGAATGTGTTCAAAGCTTTTTATTCCTCTGACCCTCCCTGAATGTGGTGATTTCATTTCCACAAATGAAGTCAGAAGAAGCTTGCTGTATGATCCACGACTAGTCCTCAGCGTATTTTATATGGATGGTTCCAACAGCTTTCCTGGCTATGAAATAAAAGGTAGAAAGACTCTGAGGTCTGTTGAAGGATCCTTTCAGGAAATGTATACTGAGAGATAAGAAAGGTCCAGTAGCCTCGTCCAGTATTGTTCACTCCTGATATTTCCTAAGAAAAATTAGTGAGCAAGGCTGTCAATCCTTGTTTCTCTTCAGTATGTGTCTGAAGGTCCCTTAGTTCAATGTCACAAGGTAAGGTATTATTTACCAAGGTGTTATTTTCAGTGACTTTGAAGTATCGCACTGCACTGGTGTCATCAGAGTCATCTGCTGAGGCATTGCTTTGTGATGGGGTTTGGTTCTTTGCAGTCAATTAGGGAGCAACAATTGTTTATGTTTTCTCAGTTGCGAGTGGGATATTGTTGACTACCTTCGTGTGCCTGCTGCACGCTCAATTTAGGAGTAATTGCCACAATAACCTGGGTGACTTTTGATCGAATAGATGTTTTTCAAATTCTTGAAGTTTGCAGGATCAGCTCAGTGATACGTTATTTTGTCTCCTTTCACAAAACTTCCCCCAGGGAATCAGTGTATGTTTAGTCCTAATGAAGTGTTGGAAAATCCTCTAAATGTGTAAGAGCGCTCTCTCGGTAGGGGTGTGACTGTTCTCATGAATTTCAGTTTGCAGGACATTGTCATTAAGCATCAGGACTTTTGCAGCATGGGGAATCATGGAATTTCAACCAAGACTTTAGCTTTCATGTTGTATCTAGATTGTACTGCAGATGTAGGGGATGCTCCAAACCAAGGATTTCTGGAGGAAGGAGGGACTGAATTTGGTTCTGTATTCAAAATGGATATCCAGTCATCGAACATCTGGGAAGTGTTAACGTGTGTGCTGTGCTCCTCTCAACACTTTTGTCTGCTGAACTGCTGATACCTTTAGCTGTTTGTGAACTAACGTTTTGATAAAATGACCAGCAGGGCTATCCCAGACTGTACTTTGTATGGCTCCTTGCAGTGTCTCTGGCAGGTGTTGTTTGGGTTTGTTCATTAATGTTGTCGGTCTTTTACACTGTATGGCTTAGAAAACCTCCTTCCCCTCTCACAGCACTCCTTCCCCTACCGAAAAAAAAGCCCACCTGACTCACAAGATTGTGAAATTTGCCAGAATGCTTGCATTTGTGTTGACGTTTTTTCCTTAATTCAGTTAATTTCAAGATGTATGCAGATTTCTTCACTTCAAACCAAAAATTACTAATGTCAATGGTTTCACGTTGTTCTAATAAGCTACTTTTTCTTTTCCAGCCTACAAGAGCATCATCAGAAAGCATTTATTCCAGACCAGGTTCCAGTATACCTGGCTCTCCAGGCCACACTATCTATGTAAGTATTCCTTCTGATGAATAAACTGCCGGTGCCTTACTTGCACATGAAATGCTCCATGCTGAAATAACACTTATACTGATGCTAATACCTTTGTTCTAGTGGTTAAATTGTTAAAATTCTTGTTGTGACAGATGTAGCTTTTATAACTACAAAAGGTACCTTTTTATTTTCTTGGCAGAGAAGTTCATAGGGTCAAAAAAAAATAATTATGTTTTATGGCTGTCCTAATCCAGTTCTAAGGAGGAAGAATGTCAGCTCAAATGTATTTGGGTGAATAACAGAACAACTCAGCCTTTTCTCTTCTTTTCCTTCAGCAAGGAAAACTTGCTATATTTCCATGCATATAAGCTACACTTCCAAAAACTCATATCCATTTAAGGGTCCTCTTCCTTTAAAGTCCATGTAACTTTTATCAAAAGTTTTTGTAACTTTTAACTCATAAAAACTTGCTCTTGAATAACCTGCACAAATGGAACTGAATGTGAGTAGAAGCAGATCAGCCTTGTTTCCTTGTGCAGCCTACTATGAATAAATAAAATACCTAGTAGAAGAGTCGAAAACCAATTTGAATATTCTTTTTCAGTTTAAATCATCAAATGTATTTCTGTAAGGCAGGTGAGAATGTATGATGATTTTTTAAAAAGTCATCTTTTAAGTAAGGAAGGATTTTAGCTAGCTAAACTATATGTGAAGCCTCTTTCTAGCTCCTTCTAATGGGTGCACTTGTCTTTGGAACTGATTTCCTGCTTCGGTTTTTTAACTAGTCAAGAGCTCCTTGCAGTTTCACTGGAAAAAGTAATCGATCTCAGTACTATGTAGTTTGCAGTGAGTAAGCAACATATGCCTTAGGCAGAAGCTTGGGTATCGATTGAGTGATGAGTGTGATATAATAATTTCAGTTGGGAGTTTGGATACCCAGTCCTGACAAATAGCCCTGCTTGCCTTTTTATTTCCTTGTAATAGTTGCATTTCCTCTTGTGTGCACAGTTACAAGTTGAATTTCTGTCTGTGGTCTTCTGCATGGAATCCTCTCATAGTCTCTGTAATCTGCAAACTAAATGAATTTTACCACATATTTTACGTATGGGAAAACAAGAGCAGAAAGGTGAAAATACTTGCCTGAGCCACAAAATGAGTCATTTACAGAGCTGAAGTTTCCAGCTCTCACTACTGGGGACAAGAAACTTTTGTATGAGATCTATATATGCCTTATTCTTTCTTTCCTAAACTGAGAAAACACTGTGTGCTTTTGCAGAGGAGGTCTGTTGGAGAGGGACAAGAAGCAATCACTTCACATGTAGGGTGCCAGAAAGGGTTTTCCGTAGCAACAGCGTGACAACAAATACACAGAAATCATAAGTTGTGTAAAACAGAAATTACCAGTGCATTTGTGTAAGTTAATTTATCTTCTGTCTTTGACCTTCAGGCAAAAGTAGACAATGAAATCCTTGATTACAAGGATTTAGCAGCCATTCCCAAAGTCAAGGCCATTTATGACATTGAACGTCCAGACCTAATTACTTATGAGCCATTCTACACTTCCGCCTACGAGGACAGACAGGAGAGACAGAGTCTTGGAGAGGTAATGAACTGACGAGCAACTCATTCTGCTGTGTGCCTTATTCAAAGCCTGCTTCGCTTCTCTCCTCTTTTGAAACAGCTCCTGATTGACCCTCCTGGATATCGGTGCTGCTGCTGCTGTTTGTCTGTTTGATCTGGGTTTAATGGGAACAATCGTGATGATGCCTCTTGTGCAAAACTGCACAATTAAACATCTCCATTAACAGCAGGGGGAGGCTTGGAGGCTGGCTGGGTGTGCGTTCTCATCACTCACGTGGATGTCCTAGTCTTTGGGGACAGCAAAGTCCAGACATGAGGCAAAAGCCAAGCTGGTGGTGTGCTGTGGAGCACCCATCTTCACAACAGAATATGATGTGATGTTCCACGGCAGTGAAAGGATTAAGAGCAGTGGGATGCTTTCTCTTGCACATATTGAGAGAAAATATATTTCTGGAGCACTTTGCCAAACATACGGGATAAAATCTGAACTAGGTCAGAATGAAGTGCTCTTCAACCCGGGAAAGCAGGTTAGTTGTGTTACAGAAATAGCTGCCTCACATTTTACACTGCTGACATTTAATATGCATTCTTCTATCCTGCAACGGTAGAACAAAACGATCTAATTTATTCTTTGAAATTTGTATGTAAAGATATCTTTCAGGTTGTAGGGTCCCCCCAGTTTTCTCAGGTGAACTTCCACAGCTGCAGTTACTATTTACATGGTTCCAGTAAAGGTCGTGAAGCAGGTTTTGTCATGTAATACCGTCTGACTGTAAATCAGACTTCTGAACGCAAATCTAAATGGACATGGAAATGGATTTACTTCTTGCAATTGCAGTGACTTTACTGGCTGTAACTGAATTGAATATGAAGATGAGCAGAGGAAGAAGGAAGTACAGTAAATCATTCAGGCACCAGTGGTCTGAAGATGCCAAGATCAGTGACTGATAATTTGCTTTCTTAGCAAAGTGTTCTGCCCACCAACAGATCAGAGCTGCCCTGCTTTTTCTCCTTTGTTCTTTAATGTTTTATAGAATTAGTCTTTTAAATTATAACATGAGTTGGAAATTCAGGAGGTTGTTGAGTTCAGGAATAAGGTAAGAGATTAACAGGTCAGAATATTACAAAATTTCCCCCTCAGATTTATATTGGTAGTGAGTCCAGCTGACATCTGGTTCAAAACCAGTGTGAGATGCATTGGTGACCTCTGGCCCGTTCCAACAGGCCTGACCCTTTCCACAAAGCTCTCTACAAACACAAGTCTCTTGTTAGTCACAGAGGAGGAGTTAATCTCCCCCAGACAAGGGGAACTATTTGTTAATCATTAAAAGGAAGCTTCTCACTGACCAAGCAGCATATTGGAAGCTGATAAAGCAGTATGGTGGAAGCCATCTGCTCTTACGCTTGTTCTGGGGATAAGCAAAGACCTTTGGGGTTTTCTTACCTCGTATTTTCACTGTCATTAAATCCAATTAATTTTTGGTGACTACAGAAGTCTCTTCTGGAAACAGAAGGGCTCTCGCCTTCTTTTCAGAAGATCTGGGGTTTCCACCCAATGCTACTGCTGACCTCTGTCACCTTGGGCAAGTTACCTCACCTCTTTGTACCTGTTTCTCCTCCCTTCCCTTGCCCTAATGAGAACACACGCCCATCGGGGTGGAGTGATCTCTTACTTTGTGTTTGTGTTGTGATAATCGAGTGGCAACAACTTTGGTGCATCATACATCAGTCACCATCATCTTTAAAAAGCAAAGGAGGTGACATGTTTAGTCATGGCAGGGATTTGCAGACTTGGAGTGATTTAACCTGCATTCTCTTCGCAAAGTGTGTGTGGTGGTGTTAAATAGAAGTGGAGCCTGAGTTTAAGCTTGTACTATAGAAATGCCCTTCACCATGATTTAAAAAAAAAGAAAAGAAAAAGAAAAAAATCACCAAACTCAGCTAAGAAAGATTTCTGGGTGGACAAGGGAGATGTGCAGGAGCCACCAAAGTTAATCCAGTTAAGTTAAACCTTAATTACAGGGAACAGAGTACCAGAAAATTATAAACTTTAGCCGTAGAAGGTGAGAAAATGCAGCAGGAGACTTTATTCTTTTTTACAGTGGAAGGGAAATGCTTTAAAAAGTTTCTCACTCATGATCTCCCTTGTTCAATGAAATCCCAATCCTGTTCTTCTGAAAGTCTGCGATGAGGAATGTTTTCATGTAGCACCATCTAGTGGGACCAGGCATTTTAGTTACAGACTCACCCGCTTTGGGGGCGGAGTGAGAGGGAGCTCATGAAGAGGTGGTTTAGCTTCTAATAAAAAAGAGATTAAGAGATGTGAAATGAGATCTGTAGATGAATTTTCTTATGCTGAGGCTCACCCTAAATGTAGTGATAACGTTTCCAGAAACTGTTAATTATTCAGGTTCTTCATGTCAGTTTTTCTGGCCGCTGCTGTTGGATCTATAATGACATGGTGTTTTGCTCTATACAACTTGTGCAGTTATAAGGATTAGGAAACCAAGAATGTAAAAGACATTCAAGGCTTTGATGGAAAATAACTAAAGTAGTCTTCAAAAAGCTTTATGGAAACTTGCTAAGAAGGAAATGTTCTGTACCCAAACAAAAAATGTCACTCCTTTGTTTGGATACTTTGCATTCAGTGTCACCAGCTCCATGAGTGTTAGTGGTCTCTCAGTGCAAAATGTGTAGCTGGATATTTATTACCAGAAATTCTGCACACGTTTTACACTACTGCTGTTGTATATTATTGTAACAGACCAGAATAATCAGTTTTACTTTTGAGAGATTATCCTAATAGCTGTGTAATTCTATAATAATTGTGGTCTTATTTAAAAGAATAATTTCTTGCCCAGTTTATTTTGGCAATTAAATAATACTGAGGTTTAGTGCATACAGAAAATAATTAAATCCTGATCTTCCAGCTTCAAATTGTCTTGTGATTAAAGGGCACGTAACTGGTAATTATACAGAGCCTTTATTCTTGCTTTACCATCAAGGTATGCATGATCTTATGCTTAATTTCTAAAGGTATTTCTTGCCTCAGTTCCCCTATCTCTGCAATAGAAACTTTTCATAATGTTGTGCATATTCCTGCCCACTGGCCTTTCTGCAGTTCTTTCAATATACACGCTGTAATTCCTGTCTGTTCTCCTTACGTGACCATGGAAGAACACAGAGATTTAAAGGAGATCATATCAAAGAAATGTTGATGACAACTGTGTACTCCTTTGCATGGGTATGAGATGGAAGGCCTTGGGGAGAAGGACATTTTTGCCAGAGTATGTGTGTTGGAGGGAAAACATGCTTCATCCTGGAAGTTCTTCTCTATTTCTGATGCCATGCAAAGCTCTGAGTTAAGATTATTTACTTTTGATTTCCACTTTAAAGATTTCTTCATAACAGGCATGGTTATTAAATTAATAACCCTTTCTGATTTGGATCTTCACAGCTATGTTTTAATTACCACAATGATTAGATGGCTGAGAGATGATGTTGCATGATATTTGACTGAATTAATCACGCTTATAAAAATTCTCCCAGAAACTTTAATTGCTTCAGTAATTTATGGACCAGTTCCTGAGCAATGTGGAGAAAGCAAGTTCCAGTGCTGCAATGGCCTCAGTAATTTCTGCATTGCTGTTTTACGGTGCCATTTATTTGTGTATCTGCAGCAATGTTTAGATTGCCATTTTCTGGCCCAGCACATGCAGTGATGTTTTGGTGACCTTATCTTTATGTCTTTGCAGTCTCCGAGGACATTATCACCGACACCTTCTGCAGAAGTAAGTTTGGTGGAACCTTTGGGGGCAGTATCTTGCTGTGATAAGAATTATTCACTTCAGCAAATGCAGCTGTTGATTTTGTTATCAGTCTGATCCATCTCTCTTTGCTACATAGACATGTTTTCTGAATATTGAAGCATAACAATAGTTAACTCTAAAAAGAAAAGATTAAGTTCTTGCTGACAGATTGTACAAAAATTGAAGCTACCATTCCTACCCGTTTGTTGTCTATAAAGCACAGTCATTTCTCCAGCAGAGGTCACTTCTTGTATATTCATCCTTCCTGTGGACTCGGATCTCAGGAGCTGGATGGTTTACATGAGCTAACGTGCTGCTCTAAACATCTAAATATTAAGCCATGGTTGCTATGAAAACACTTGCAGTTTTGTCTGGAAGAAAACATAACTCTGGTCTGGTTTGGTTTTGCTTTTCCCTAGGACTTAATTGGAACATCAGAATAACATGAAACGTTTGGGAAGTCACTTGTCAGATTACAGTAGATGCCATTGCAGAAGCATTTTCATTTGGGGGCTGGGCAATGCTGCTTGTTTGCAATGTAAAAGTTGTAGTGATTGCTACATGTTAAAACAGTGACTATAAAATTTCTTGTAAATGTTCATGCATTAATATCAATCCTGTCCCTTTTGTCCTGGTTTGGTTTGTTTTAGGGGGATTTGAGAGGTGTTTGTTTGGGGTTTTGGAGGGTTTGGTTTTTTTTTTTTTTTTTTTTTTTTTTTTTTTTTTTTAAAAAAAAAAAAAAAAAAAAAAAAAAAAAAAAAAAAAAAGTTCTAGGAAAAATATTAAACCC